TCTTTGCAAGTGAGAGGAAATTTGATCCTACTGTCATTAGTGCATCCACAGCTTTGTTCCAGTTGTGTAGCGTACTGAGGAAGGGTGAGTGGCGCTGGTTTTGTGCTGCTCTAAACTGGATAAATAACTACAAAGAGGCCATTTTTTGTGCCTAGCTTCATTGGTGAGGAATTTGGCCTAAGAGCAAAACCACTTAACAAGATGACAAGGCTTGAGGCTGTCTCACTGAGCAAAACGTTTTGTATCTACTCGTCCGTGCCTTATCGTTTCCATTTCGGCTCAGATCATACACCCACTGGATCCATCCATTCGGGATGGATCCAGTGCCTATTCATCCTATATCCATTCAACAATCAAGCGTATACTAATCCGCCCTTCGATCCTTTAATTAACCAAAATCCACTCAGTATTTAAGCGTATATATCACGGGTTCGTGCCTCCACTCATTTACCCATCTACATAGCAATTCGATCATCTTTGCATCCACCCATTTCCTATGTATCGGTTACGTATCCACCCCGTATCCGTCCATTCACTCATCAATCCATTACATCGCTGAATTTTATCCATCCCTTAAACATCCATTTACTTATCCATCAATCCATCCAGCCATGCGTTCATCATCCATCCATCTATTCCGTATCCACCCCCTATTAATTTGTACATCCATCTTATATTTATGTCGTGTCCTACCCAAACCTATTCCCCCATCCAATCCCTACTATCCCCTACAGCCTGAATTATTCAGTTACCATCCAACGCTTATTCGCAATTCATCCTCTTTCCACCCGGCATCCATTCCATGTTCACCCTTATCCATCCTTCCCGGATCCACCCATCCCGTGTCCATCCATTAGGCTTCCATTCATGAAATAGAGATGCCATTATGGTATCGTCTGTCGAAGCACTTAATATCATTACAAAGCTTTCAGTATTTGATTACTCTCGTCTATGCAGAACACGGGGTTGGCGTACCAACAATGATGAACGCAACCGTATTGTTTCTACCAGGAGGCCTTACATATTCTTCCATCCCTGGCGGATACCCTTCATCTCTTTCACTAATATTTGCCAATGAACAATCACAATCAGAGCACTTTTCCTTGTAAATCGAGTTGGTTTACCGCTGCCACCTATACAGCACCTCGATACTTCCCTGAAAGCAAACGGAGCATACTACTTACTGAGGTACCTGAGAGTTAAGAGGCTATTAGCATCGTTCATAGAGTAATCTTTGGAGACCTAAGTAACCGCGTTGCCCAACCTACAGGCAAATGATGCACCAAACACCCAACATTGTTTTAACTTGGTGTGCATTTAAAACCGTTCGGACGTATAATTAAGTATGGTATGCAGACTCCCGCCTAATCCCTTTTGCAGTGACCGGGGCCACAATTGTTTTATTGGGGTAGCGAAATCGTCTGTAGGAATCATTTCAAAGAGACGAAGTATTAAAATCTTTTTTTAAAGCAGTACTCTCCTGAGATGACATTTTGTTTGGCTAGGTGGTTAAGTCACCGGACACTCCAGTCACTGCGGGCTATACCTTCGCTCTGGAGTATGGCCTTCTTCTTGTGCTTATAGCCCCCATATATTCATTTGGTTAATAATTTGTGCGTTCTGCCACATTCCTTACCCTTATTACCACTTCAAAGAGGATTCAAGGAGTTGCATATGTAAAAACATCCATTATGGAGCTCTTCACTGTACATCTGTGACAATGCTTTGTGTGTGAACCAGCTTCAATTCCCCATACTCACTACTACCCAAATGAAACTAATATGGATAAATTGATGAATAGATGGATACATAATGGATGGGCAATATTGGAATGCGAACGAAATGGCTCGGAGAAATCGACACAAAACATCTAGCCCTGTCAAACTTCTTCCTCCCTCACTACAGTTTACAAATAAGGCAAAACTATGGATGTGCTTGAAATAGCCGTACTGCATCAAGGACGTTGAGATCAAATGCTTCGTGTCACGTGATTTGATTCAGTGACTGTCATTTATAGGCCATAAGTAGTTTTAGACGCACCAACCACGCTGCAGTGAATGAGGCAGGAGGCTGACCGAAGGATGTGCCGTTGATGCCACTTGGAAGAAGAAAGGTATTGGGCTGTGTGGTTGTAATGATATATCCTGTTGAACAGTGTGTTGAAATACGTAAGCACTGAAAGTCAAGTAGGTAGCACTTGCGTTGGGTGGCACTGATTTCGGGGTATGCTAGCATTTGTCAGCTGTAAATGCTCCAAAATGTCGAGACCATTCATCGTTTAGATTATACGGATTTCTCAAAAAAATATAAGCTGGAAAGTCATCTCAGTTTTAGTGTTCATCTGTAAGATTCATTTTATTTTATAAAAAGGCTGAACAATTCATGTCAAATTACCGATGCAAACTTAAGAACTGATGCCCTATGTAAAACGAACAGGCCAAGCTACTTTTATCCATTAAGTAGACAGGCACAGCTTTTACAGGAAGTACATCAAATAGACCACAAAAAGTTTACTTTTTCCTCACATATGTCGTCAAGATAACATTACAGGGGCAAAGGTAGATGATCTCTCGATGCTATGTCCTGAATAAAAGGAGGGTAGAATTCACCTCGGCTGGAGTTGGCCTTACAATAATCAGTTTTATTATTAGGCTTAATGAGCACTAGATTAGGCTGATACTTACGTTGAACTCCACTTCTTTCAGAAAATGTATGCATTCTGTCCATTTACTACCTGGAAATTTCGCACGAAATACTACTTTCTTTTTGCGGACGTACTATTCAAAATGTAAAACAGCGGGATCAAGGGGATGAAGGCACGATGGAATGTGTTCATTTCGGCTTGATTAATTAAGAAAGCAGGCTGTGAACAACAGATTTTCATTAAATCATTTTTCCCACAGGGTTGTTTCTCAAGTCATTACATGTGCATAGGTAAAGCTTCAGTTAAGCGCATGCTGGAAGGATTTCTTTTACTGACTTGGCCAAATTTTTTGTAGGAGGCTAAGTGCCAATCCTTAAAAATCCACATTTTATCCAACCGCGTGTAAACGCAGACGAAAGGAATACCATAAATTTTGAGAATAAGTCGACAATGTTTTAAGCTCTTTATGACTTTTCGCCAAAATTAGAAGGACCTGTTATATCAGTCTTCTTTTCTGAAATGCCATGTACCACCACTAGGTAGTAGCATTCTCGTTCAGATGAGGCTGAGGTAGAGGACTGACCACGAGTAGAACAGCAGCCGACTTCCAAATAGAGATTAGGACTACGCAGTGTTTGGATCTCCCTTCTGGGTGCCTGCGGATTTTATCACTGTCTTTTCTACGAAATTGGCAGAAAGTCGCTTTTGAGTGCCACAAAGTCAACAAATTATCAACATTGGCAGGTTTAATTTTAAATGCTAGGAGAGGTTTGGGACACTGCAACACGAGTGATTATTCACTGCTTTTTTCGCCTCCTTTGCCCTGCAAATTTTAAGTACCCACAACTCAATTCACACTTCATTCTTCTGTGTTGACAATTTAATTTAACCACCCACGCAGTAACAGCATAAAAGAGGAAAGTTTGTTATCCATTGGAAAAGCGATAACCAAATCCCGAGTAAAAGTGGATGTAGTGAAAATGCTTAATTACATCTTCTAACAGTTGTAAAAGTGCTCAACAGTGAAGCAGCGCCCCACATCAACGTAAGTTATGATCTCCTTTTGCACTAAAGAGAACAAATTCATCTTTGAAGCAGTAAATGCTAAAGTTTCCGGCACAGTGCATCCCCGTTGAAAGTGAAGTAGATACTGCATATCTCCCCTCTACTTCTGCTAAGGTTACATTAAAACGAGAGGTATGTAAGGGATAAAATCCTGCGTTTAAACAATAACTTGGGGATTCACCGGTTGTCAAGGCTTAAATATGCTAGGAATTTGTTTCCGTCTCCGCCACGTGGATGTTGTAAACAGACTGATTCAGATCTTAAAGGTGTTTACAAAAAAATAACTAACACAGAAGAACTTTAGGAAAACAATTATACATAAGTGTGGATTCTCATAGTCATCCAGACAAGGCGTGTTAATTGCCTGGTTCCACCCTCAGATTCGCCGAGTTTGAACCACTCGCGCTCTCAGGAAAAATGGGAAAAATGGGCGTATACCATTCATGTGAAGGTTCAGCCGAACACTACCCCAACTAACTTAATGAACCTTGCTCATAAATGTCGGATAAGTAAGATTAGGCAAAAACTTTTTCCGCTCAATCTAATTGATCCATGGCGCACTTGAGAGAATTTAATGCAAAGTCAAAAGTGCCTTTTGAACACAAGAATAGCAATTCAGCACTTTTACTAGTAAAATTCAAACAAATACATCAAAAACTTAACGCACAATTTAATTTGTATCGAATTTAAATAAATCTCTCAAGATTTAAATTTGTATAATAACACCTCCAGTAGACAAATTAAAAAATATTATAAAGATTAACGCACTGTTGCATTTTTTAAGGATAATTTTTTTGTTTAAAGCTTTGTAAAGGACAGTTAATCAGTCATCTCTATCTTATGACCTTACCCTTGTGTTTGGATGCGCCTCTGACGGTCCGCGTCTGACGAAACTCTGTGTGATGGTACGCTAACGCTTCGTTTTATCGTTTGATTTAGTCTGCAATATTTAATTTCCAAAGTCTTCTTACGGTTATAATTCTTCTTATTTGTACATGTACTTACGTGCGTGCCCTAATGCCAGGTTTTCTTGATCGTCACAAGGCTGGGTATGTCATCTATGCATATTTACGAGTCTATGTAGATTTACCGGGACATTTTGGAAATGCGCCAGGATAGGAGAACGCAAAAGTCCTTATGTTGCGATTTGTTGCCTTTCTTTGGCTCTACTCGTTCTTGTTAACAGTTAACTTTTTCCCCTGAAAATATACTTCTATTAAATAATCTCTACTTTTGAAATTATGCTTTGTTGCTTGGAGTTATTAGTTTCACTGAACTTTTGTAGTGCGCTATGCTTCGCAAACTTCTCGCAAAGTCCCTTGGTCAAGTACTTCGCTCCACGCGCCGTTCATACAAAATGCCGGATCCATACCGCGAGTCTTACCGACCTGGGTTCGACCCCATTGTTATATCTGGTTTTCTCTTAGTTACCGTACCTATCGTTTGGATGGCCTATGATATCGCTTTCGAGACCGACAAAGACATTCAGCCTAAGTAGTTCCCCTTGCTACGAAAATTCTCGTGTTTAGTTGAATAAATCCCTTCCTTCCGCGTTCTTCTTTTCGTCTCTTCTATTATCATTTGTGTGTTTGACAGGTTGTCTTCTTCTAGATATGGCGTACTTACTAACAAAGACTATTAGGAATGTCTTATCCTCTCCGAAAGTCCGTTGCTTGCCTTTGACTAATGCAAGTCCATCGATCCCTTTCTCTACAAAATCCACTGGACAGCAAAGGGGTCCCAATTTCACTTTCATACGGAGATTGTCCCGGAAACCCCTCTCCAGAGAGTCCACTTTTGCTATTTTATTTGGAGTTGGTGTTCTTGGCGCTGTGGGCAGCATAAATCTCTTCCTCCATTGGAAGGCGAATCGGTATACCGATCCTAGCTATAATCCGGTATATGAAAAGTGAGAAGGTTCTCTCTTGCTGCTTAAGCCCCTGATTGAAACGTTTTTAATAGTGCATTTTGACCCACTTAGGAGGCCTTCAGCCAAGCCCAAAAAGTCTGATTCGGAAACAGCAGAATGTGAGTTCTTGGAATGCTCTTTGTGTTGGGATTTAAGGCATATGTAAAGGTATAGTTGATACTGTAAAGTGGTTTATTATTCATCTTTAGCCGTCAGAACTATTCCACGTATCCTTGTATTGCCTTCTTTGGGGCATCGCATATGCGTGACGCTGATAGCGAATAGTTTGAATAAGAAGCTAAAGTATTTTTATCGGGCCACATTAAATCCTTGAGATTGGACGGGCTTCTAAAAAGGGATTCGTTCGCACCTTGACAGCTACCAAAGGTGTTTCAGCATCACCGAAATCCGTTCGACTGCCTCCGCGGGTGAAGCACGTAATCATTGGTGCGGGTGCTGCGGGTATCAACGCTGCCCGAGCAATTCGTTCGGTGGATCCCCTCGCTCTGGTCCTCCTCATCGCCGGCGACACGAACTATGGGGAGGAACAGGTGGAGACGGAAGGAGGAAAGACCTACCCACCCCCATATATTCGCCCTGTTCTCAGTGGTGGACTGTGGTGGCGCTCGCCGGAGAGACGCCAGGTTATGTTGGATCCACTGGGGGATATTCGCAGCCACTCCTGGTTCTACTATGAACCGCTTAGTTTCTTTATTGAGCCTGAGGAGTAAGTCCGGCTTTTGCTATTCCCCAAGGAGTTTTTCTTTTCCGTTTACAACTGAGGTCACGATCTTCCATCTTACTTGAATCAGAGATTTTTTCACGCAGACTACAGTCCCTTCTAGCTCAAAATCCGGGTTCTTTTCTCCCCGGAAATTCGTTCTATAGGTAGAAACGAAGATGGAATTAGGCTTCAGGACTTTTGAAGCTCCTTTTCGATCGCTTCCAAGCCAACGAAGGGTAAAGGTTTCATTTGGTTTTGGTGAAGCTCCTAGAACTTTGAATAGCGACGCCAAGTTCCTACGGGTCTCAGCTTTGCTGTCAGTTTCCTAATGATTACTTTCCTACCACCCTTCTAGCGATGCCGAGGCCCAAAAGAATCAACTTTTATGGCTTTGAATAACCGAGTTCTTTTTAGAGGAGCCTCCACACATTTCATTCGGCTACATGAAAACCACACTATTGCTTTCTCTAACCAAGCTCAGAACTTGACTGTTCGTTCTCAACTCCCCTTTTCCCCTTTGCATCGCGTCTAGACTATCAGAAGCCAAGGAAGGTGGCATCTGCCTTCTTCGTGGAAACCCTGTAGTTGCCTTACACCCGAGACGTCACGCGATCACCTTAGCCGATGGTCAGGAGATTCAATACGAATGCTGCCTTCTGGCCACTGGCGCTCGACCCCGTACAGTGCCAGAACTGGGTCAATGTTCTCTCAGTGGTGTCGACCTCGTTGCTAACAAACGTGTCACGTACTTCCGCAATATCGCTGATTACAAGTGAGTGGGTTGTTAAACCAACTTTAGGTGGCTAGACAATATTAACCCATCTACAACGATCTTGCAGGCATCTCCAAAGCGTCTCAGATCGTCTTCACAAGAATGGTGGTCGAGTGGCCGTTCTTGGATCCAGTCAGCTAGCTTGTGAATTGGCGACGAGCTTCCTGGAGGAACGTCGTCTCACCAAAGAGGAGAAGGAAGCCAACTCGCCAAAAGACTCTGCAGCATTCCACGTTAATCAATTCCTCGGTTTTGCTGTCTCGCATCCCATGGAAGATGTGTTGCCTCCAGTTCTTGCTCAAGCCGTTTCTGACTACGAAACTGAGCGGGGTGTGGTGTTATCTCCCTCAACAACTATTGTTCGCGCTTCTCTGGTGGATCCAACCAATCCTGCAGAGTCTCGCATTCGTCTAACCATTCACAAACGTGAGGAAGGAGGAGTTATTAAGGAGGAAGAGGATTTAATCGTCGACCATGTCGTTTGTGCCGTTGGAAATGAGCCTCGAACGGAACTAGGCACTAAGGCTGGTTTGGAGCTGGATCCGGTAAATGGAGGCTTACTGGTGAATAGTGAGCTTAAATCTCGAGACAATATCTACGTTGCTGGATCGGTGGCATCCTACTGGGACTCCGAGTTGGACTGTCGCCGACGCGTTGATCACATTAGCGCTTCTGAGGATACTGGAGAGTTAGCCGGTCTTAACATGGCTCGGAGTGCTCCATCTCCGTCTCACGAAGTTGAAGATAAGTTGGCGGAGGCGTGTGTTGCTCCTGAAAAAACTTACGACCCTCTGCCCTCTGCTCGCAAGTATCAAACTTCACTTTGGTTTAATATTGGTAAAGGTGCTCACTACGACTGCGTCGGGTTGGTCGACTCGAAGAATCTTATCACACGAACCGTCTTTTTGGAGGGCGAGGAGTCTTCGGCTGTGGTATTCTACCTTCGTCCAGAGGATAACCGATTAATGGGCGTCTTGCTGTGGAATATAACCGATGAGTTATTCAAAGATCCTGAATACGTGGCTCCGAGTAGGATTAATCTGGCCCGCAGTATGGTAGCAGATCGACTGATCTTGCGTGAAGATGACGACGTGTTGGAGTGTGCCAAGCAATTTGATTTAGGTGGTGAGATCGCGGAGCACTATGCGGAGTTGAAGGCCTTCATTGAGGCGAAGAGAGCTGAAGACGAGGCAGCGTCGGCGGCGGTAACAGCGCTTACAGACAAGAAGACGGAGCCAACGGAGGCTTATTCACAAGTTCTAGCTAGGACCAAAGAAGAAGTAGTTGTGGCAGAGACGCTTGAAAACAGTAACACTGTGTAGAGATTTCTTGATTTCCTTCCCTTCGACATCTCTGTATAGACTACTTTTTTATTGAAATAAAATGCTTTTAGATTAAAAATAATTCATCTCTGCTCATTGAGCTGCAGTGGAAAACATTTGAGCGTCTCTGACATCTTCTGTTGGTAGGAGGCATCAACGGAAGGCGGTGTACAGGAACAGGAGAGTTTCGGAAATGAAAATCCCCTAAAAATGAAGGTAGGCTTTTAGCCCGACTCGAATGCTGTTTACCTTCTCCTGTAGATAAACAATTGGTTCGGCGTTGCAACATGGCGATGGTGTACCAATGACAGTACTTGTGGAATCTGTCGCAACACCTTTGAGACGTGTTGTGCTGACTGCAAACTGCCGGGCGATGATTGTCCCCTTGTTTGGGGTCAGTGTTCGCATTGTTTCCACATGCATTGTATCATTAATTGGTTGGATACACGGCAAAGTGGACAGCCGTGTCCACTGTGTAGACAGGAGTGGAAATTCAGAGAATAAAATACTCTTTTTTTATTTGGAAGAAATTTTGACGTGGCATTGGAAGACTTGAAAAAGTCGGTTAAGAATTTTACAATTTAAGGAACTTCTTAAGGAATTGTATGCTTTTGATGTACTCTAAAAAATTAAGATAGGAAAACGGCTTTGTTGCCATCAAAGTGGCTCTTCTGGTGTTTTATGTGTGTAAAAGAAGGCGAATTTGAAGCAGTTGATGGGCGAATTGGCAACACGTTGCTACTTAAATGTGTGGATGAGTAGTGCACTGGATAATTTAAATGCTCTAAAAAACCAGAGAGTACCGCCTACTGTTAAAAAAATGGTGTGGCATTAAGACCGTTCTGCCTCTATCAGGATAGCTTTTTGATGTTTGAAATGGCTAAAAGAAAGACAATTTGGTGGACCAACTGCAAACACCTTGTTACTTAAAAGCGTGGATGAGTAGTATATTCGCTTGTTTAATGTTCTGGGAATCCTAAGGGGAATTTACAACTGCTAAAACCGGTTTATTTGCATTCCGGCGTCTAATATGGCTCAAGGATGGATAATTTGATATGTTTGACGGGCTAATTGTCAACACGCTGCTACTTTAATGCGGGGTTGAGTAGCATGTTTGCTTGTTTACTGTTCTAGAAATCCTGATGGGATTACCTGCTGCTAACACTGATTTCTCCGTCTTTTGATGACTGACGTGGTTGAAGGAAGGATAATTTGACGTGTCCTGCGATGCGAAGGGCTGATTAGCGGCAAATTCCTACTTAAATGCGCACATGAGTAGTGTGTTTGCTCGTATAATGTTCTTGAAACTCAGATTATTGTCTGCTATCAAGAATTACGTTTTCGCCTTTTTGTGTTTGTTGTGCCCAAAGGAAGCATAATTTGCCGCGCCGTACCGTGCTCCATGCCATGAAGGGCTAGTTGACAACACGTCTCTACTTAAATGTGTGCATAAGTAGTATGTTTGTTCATTTAGTGCTCTTTGAGATTCAGGGGGTTTCTATCTACTATCACAATCAGTGCATCCGCTTTTTGCTGCTACGGGTTAAAAAACGCCAGGTGAATAAAAATTTTCTTTTTGACTCCTGCTATAGCTCGCTATATTGTCATGTAAAGCGTAGATGTTGATGGTGCCGGGCATTATTTGCTTCCTTTTTTGCACTTCAAATCCCACAGCACTAGCTTAACGACCCTGATGCGATTTAGGCTTGTCCTTCCCACAAACTGGTACATATGGAACAGAAACTTCTCGTCGAATTCGTTGCAAATCTTTCGTAGGAGGTGTGGTGTGCATGGCGGTAAAACACTTCACTCAGAATCAACTGGCTAGAACCAACAATGTGACCTTGGTTATGGGTCACCACGTTGAGAAGGGAGGAAGCCTCTATCCTTTGCAATAAAGAATGGAGAATCATGAATTACAAGATGCGAAGCAACGTGCTAACATCTTTACCATCTAGGAAGGAAGAGCCTTGTCTATCACCACTGAGTTAATGGGTATCACAAACTGTTTTATAGGCAGATGATAGCAAACTTAAAAGGCTGCTACTTTGTTATTTTCTTCTTCACTCCACCTCATGAATTACGCGTTGCAGAACATCAGATTATCTGCCGACTCCCTCCCTTAAACGCGCCAACTCATTCATGAAAGATTAAACGTGTGCCTTGTGTGGTGAAGACGAAATTGTGTACTATGACTGCCTCACCCCTGAAGGTATAACTATCAGACGAGCAGTCCACCGTCTAGATGCACGTCGAAACCCATTCAGCCTGAAGGTGTGCCGGATAGTGTCTAGAGAAGTGAATGAGAGGGCAGAATCTGCTGGTTTCGAAAGGACAGCAAAAAATCAGTGCTTTATACTTCTGTTTATTCAAGTCATGAATGCACTCTCTTCTTGACATCCGCTTCGGACATTGGCATGAACGCCGTGGTGTAGGTGGACCGTTCGGCGATAATATTGTGGTGCAACGAAGTTGGTTAGAAATGCTTTTTCTTGACTCCCAGAGAGTAAAGCTCGATGTCACTACCACCTTACATCCCTCTTAAAGGCTAAAAGAATTGAGTACTAAAATTTGCGCTAAAATTCCTTTCAAATCACTGTGCTTTGTGCCCGGAATACATTATTCTTCGGACGTCATATACTACTCATTACAGTCCAAATAAGTAGCTGAGTTAGTATTAGTGACTGAAGCTAAAGACCCCATGCTTTGTAATTTTTTTTCAGTACTTGCTTTCCAGAGATGAAAGGAACTAATTTTTAATTTGACCAAGTTTTTAGACAATGCATTCATAATATCACGGGTGACCTACTACTAATTAGCATCAGTACTATGGTGTGTGACTGAATGGTTTATTAAAGAAAACAGCGAACAGAAAGAAGTAGATGACAATTAAAGCATTCACAACATAAACTGATGCTCTCTAGAGGTTAAATGATGCGGTGCATTTTAAGTGAACGTTTTTGGCTCTGCCATCCTCCACGGTGCCGTGGATCCAAGGGCTTGACGGTCGGAGAACTAGAGAAAATGAAATTTTTGCTGCCATTATTTGACACATTTGATCAATAATAACGCAGTTTTTAGTTCCATATATGGATAAGTGTGAAGAATCTTCCAAAAGTCCCTCCCGTAAATAGGTTTGACCCACTTAATGTGCTGACTTGCAGACCTCTTGAGGTAATCAGAGGAGATTACCATACATACCTGATTCACCGCATCCTCCAAAGTTGATATTTGGCCCTTCATTTCTTTTAATAGCATTCCAAGCTTTCTTGGTTCATCCAACACCTCCACAGTCTCCGAAAGAGCATTGTATCGAAGGGCAAACGGTCTACGAAGGCTTTGAACAAAGTGTCTGAAATGCGTATTTTGCATAGCGGTACTCGAAGCCTGTGAGCAACACACTCAACTTTTTCTTCCAGAAATGCAACTGACCTTAATTTGTCCTGTGCCTCCCTGAATGTACTGGTTGTGAAGTAGGCCTTTTGGTAGGTTGTCACCATGCATTCCGCCTTGATGACCTCTTCGGGGATGAAGGGCATCCTCACTGCGGCATCGCTTAATGCGTGCTAGGAGTTGGGAGGCAAAGAAGCACCTCAGAGCTAGCAGCCTTTATCCAGTATTTAAGGTCGAATAGACATTTCTATTAAAATGTGATTTTAGCTTGTTTACTCCCATTGTCACATATATGTGACGTTAGTCCTTTACCTCTTCAGGAGACGAATTATATGTGATAAACAGATTAGTAAAGTATTAGACAATGAGATAGGGTGTCGAATATTCGCAATCCGGGGATAACTCTCCTTCATTTGGTTTCCTGGAGATTCAGTGAATATCTGTTTTAATAAAGTTTGGTCAGCACACTGTTCAACGTGTTAACAGCTGCTCAGGCGAACGACATGGACACACCCGACTGTGAGGCTACCATTTACGGTTTACAGCACAGCACTCACTGCTGTGTGCATTCAGCATCCCGATCTTAGACGTCAAATGAACCCATGCGTGACCTTTTTGCAGGTGACCAGAGGATGCAGTCTTCTCTAGCGGTGATAAGCACAGTCGTCCACCGACTTTGGAAGTTGCCTGTGTCAAAGCCTGCCACACACCCCTTTAAATGCGTCTGTACGTGTGTGCAGAACCTCAAAAGTCTCGGCTTGTCTTAAATGACCCTCTTATATCCTACAACTTTTCGGCATTTGCAGCAGTGTCACCTTTAATTCAGCCACAGAAGACAGCAGTCCAGCCCCGAAGGCGCGCAGTTCTCCGTCCTGATTGCAGATTCCAAATTCCACAGAGAAGAAGTAGAGCTACAATCAAAAAGGCGGATTTATGGTTAAATCATCAGTTGGTCCTCCACTTGACCGCATGAGATTGCAAGTAAGACACTAGACTGCCTAAGAATAAAACTCTAGAGGAAGCATTTCAGAAAAGGCGTACTTCGCTTCTGGATAGGGAAGCGCTACACGCAATCTGAAGAAGATGTGCCAATTATCCCCAAAAAACATCTTTTCTACAACTATGGTGGGTACAATTTGAGGGAGATCAAAGAGACTGTCTTTCTTCATCATTTTTTCCTAAGGAACAGGTATTGTCAACTTCATACCCTCGTCAATGAGAATTCCACGTGGCGGATTTGGAGGTGGAGGGCCGAATAACTCTTTGACCACCCGGAATGCGCTCACAGTCTCCTCATTTAATCTACTTGTTTAGAGTGTCACCTGTGTTTGTAAATACATGCTCTTACATGTCAGGTCTATTAAGGTCAGCTGGGCTGAAGACCGTGACCTTCTCATAGAAGGAGTCCTTTTCACTTTGTCACTACTTATTGGAACTTTGTAAGCTTTCACTATCAACGAAAGAGTAGAGACCCACCTTGGCTAGTTTTTGAACGTCTTCTTCGGAGACACCCAGAGAGGCGAGACCCAACTCCTGGGAGTACTGAGCAAACTCCAGATTTGCCAGTAGTGGTACGTGCCCCATCAATTCGTGAATGCAATCTCTAACCGGGAAAGTGATTTCCGGTTAAGGGATGAAAAGAACGTGAACAAAATCTAAATGGAAGGGTCAATTTGATCCACCTTGGGGATGTGCTAGATAAATGTCTTGGTGAGGAACCTCGAGGACAAGTGGAGTAAGTGGGGGGGAAGGATCATTAGAACACTGGCACGACTATGGTGGAAGAAAACCGCTGGGAATTAAAATGGAGGCAACTTCCCTCCCCCCTCTTGTCTTATGACTGATTCTAAGTTGCTTTTTCACTGTTTTAGTGGTCAACGAGGAGAAGCTTCCTAACGGAAGCCTGTCTAAAGAAGGCCGCCCAACCTCCTTGCTTTTTCATGATTCAACACAGGGGTGGTCAGCTCACGCCATCTCCGCCACTAGATCCTCACTCCTTCTGTGTGGATCTACAAAAGCTGCTTACGGTTCAGGGGTATAGAAGGGGTCCGCTTCATGACGAATGTACTGAGTGCAGTAGAATACACGATAGGCCAAGCCTTGAAGAAAGTCTCGAGCAGAAATGTAGCCCGCAACCGGACGCAATGTGAATCCCGACTGCTCTATGCGAAAAAGGGGGAAAGTTAATACACGAAACATTAGCGAATCCCACAGGCTTACTTTTGAGAAAGTTGGAGACATCCTCCAGTTGGGGCAAATCCTCCTCCCTAGACACAAAAGCGGTGGTGATAAGGGAGCAGTGGTGGGGCATACCGATAGCCTGCGTGTTCCTGAAGAAGGGGAATGTTCTCCAAGTGCTCCTTACAGGCGTGGGTACGATAAAGCTCCATTAATGCACGATAAACTATACCCCTGTGAGAATGAAAAAGAAGGAAGGAAGCGGACATTTTGGCCTGACTCCTCAGGGCTACTGATGAAGGCGACATTTGCAAATGCTGTCAGGTCACACTCACCACGTCTTCCGTTCTTCCTTTGTGTACTCAATACGGGGAATTGTATCGCCACTTATTAAAGAAAAATCACAAAAGATGTTTAAAATTTATGTTTTTTTTCTGCCACTGACCGCTTATTAGTCGATTTGCTAGCACTGAATGGCTGTCCGAATAAAGTTTACCCCAAAGAATCGGAAAGACGGAAAGCCACATTTTGAGGCCATTAAAATGAGTTGGAAGGCCTCTTAAAAGCCTAATGAGTAATAAGGCTAGGTCATGGTGAATATAATCACCTCAGGTCATGCTCGTTAGAGGTTAAGCGACTCAACATCATCTAATAACGCAGTCTATAATCGCATCACTGCGGCAGATGATGTTTAGCACCTTAGAAAATCCGTCAATGCGTCTAACAAACCTAGTTAATCCTTCTTCATAACTTCGAAAATAGGGTCTGGAATTACATCAAAAAATGCATTGGCAGTCAGGAATTGTAGCCATGGGACTAAGTGGGTGCTAAATCAATTTCCATTACTAAATTGCAGAAAAGTATCGTCAGTATCACAGAAAGTGAATGAAGTACTACAGAGTCAGAGGAATCTGGCAATACAGCTTGTAACTCACTAGCGGTAATTGTAAGCAATTTTGGCGAATTCCATTCTCCGTTTTCTATATGCCTCGTCCTTAAAACTCGGGTGGTCAGCATCTAGATCCTTTCCATACATAAAGACGTTGTTGGAGACCGCGTCCAGTTCAGAAATGTGTCGCGGAAACCAGGGTACCACTGTGTTATCTGACAATAATTACAACCAAAAAAATTTACTAATAATTTTATCAGTAGCATGAATATTTCAATTTACTGAACAGTTAGTAATATAGTTTACTACACTGATAGGGCAATATAGAACTCGAAACTTAAATGAATGTCATTAGGCAGAGATGGTCTGTACTTGAAGACCCTTTATACCACTCTACTGGTTGGTTAGTTCCTCGAGTTACGTAAAATTGACCACAGCGATAAATAACCCGGGTATAGCAGTTTGGTTTTCTCGTTGAATATACCGGGATGAAATAACAAATAAATTAAACATGAATTAGTAAGGAGTGGTAGTAGTTTGCAAACCTTCAAAAATGGGAATGGATAGACTGGCTTTTAAGTCATCCGCAGTTTTTACAGTCACGTCCTTGCAGACGATTTCGAGAGTTTGAATTACGTCATCCTTAAAAGTAGCAGAAGATTTTGGGTGAATTACGATATCACCAGTCTCCACGACCCTGACACCGTCAATGCCATGATTTATTTCCTGAAATTTGCAAAAATATTCGTTCTAAGAATTTGCAGGAAATAGAGTGGTAAGAGCTAAAATTGCATCAAATCTATGCAAATGCCTTCTGTTGATTTGTGCGTCTCTTATATTTCAGGAACACGGAAGCTCGTTATCAGCAAAACACAAATTCTGGTTAATTCATTGAAAAATAACTGCCGTGGCTGAAACCTAAAAAAATAGAATGGATTCAACTTTCACTGATGATTCATTGGCAGGTTTTGTACCGTGACAACCCACCTGCTCACACTACCTTGGTATTGCAAATTTTTTACCTGAAAAAAGCACCATTTTCAAAGTTCAGCTATGCTCGGGGTTGGTGAGTCATTGTCTATTTTGTCTTGTTTTTTGGGTGCAACGCATAAACTTCAACGAACGAGTATGGTTTCTACTTGTTATTTGTGCAATAATTTGCACCTCTATCTCGAAGGAATGAACGTTTAGTGGAGGTCATTAAATACGCTGGAGTTTTTGTTCTTCTGTATAGATATTAATATGTTTTCTGCTATGTCGTATATATATGATGCCTCACCACCACAAATCCGCAGTGTGCTTAGTTTTTGAGGAGAAATTTTCGAATATTACTAGTTAATCTTGAAGTGGTGAAATAGATGCAGAATGCTCGTGACCTGTGGGTGATTACAAAATTTTTCATACTTGACTACCGATTGACTTGGTTAAAAGGTAGATATTTGATGACGTATGAAAAACATTGCGACGTTGGGTTTCTGCTGATCAATTTTCTTAGAATTTTATCACTTCCCTAGCACAGAACAAAGTCTCTTACCCGATAAAATTATAATAGAAAAGAATGGATAGTACCTGCAATTTTCTAAGAAGTGCTGCGAATTCCTTCACTTTGGCATCCTTTCCCACGACCAGTGCTAGCTGAGGTGATTCCTTTGCAAGCATTTCCCAGTTTTATGTCACCGAATGGCCGGCTTGTCTTTATAGCTTTCTACTCCCACGCAAGGTATGACATGCTTTAATCCGCGAATAATTGGATGGATATGCTCATCTAAGCTGAGATAATGAGGGAAGTAATCCCTAATCCTAACTCGATGGTTGTTTTCGTGGGGAGGCTGTAAATTGATGCCACAAGAGAGTGTACATGAATGAGGGAAGCGCTAATTTACTCGCACATCTTACTTGCAGCTTGAGGTGGCATTCTTTGTGTGAAGCATATTTCTCTACATCGTTGTTTTTCCTGTCTTACAGTTAACTACAAACCGAAGGAGGATATCTGGCAGTCGAACTCGTAGATCGTTTATCACGACATACGGAAGAAATGGGACGGGTTGTGAATTAGCGGCCTGAGTTTCCTGAAGTTGACAGAAATTCTAGTACTTGGAGAGAAGGTGTAGTGCCGACGTGCTGAGGGTCCACTGGCATGCCCTGAAGGCCATGCCGTCTAGCGGAATTCCAACGATTGCAACTTCAGTGCCCGCCTAACCAAAATGAAAAGTTAAACAAGAAACCAAAGTACTACCTAGCCTCCCTCCTCTTTTGAGCATCGTCACTGGTTCTCCCCTTGGTCAACCTCCCACGTCGGCCATCATAACGTAGTCGGTGCTGTAAGAAAAACGCTCACGAACCAACCCCTCCAGTCATCGAATTTCCATGCAACTAAGAAAATACTTGGCTGCAACGTCACTGATCCCTCCCAGCAATTCTACAGGATCTGGAATTTCAAGGGAATATGCTGGCCATCACTCATGTCCCTCCCTAGTCGTACGGACACTGGCCTAAAAGTAGAGTCATATAACAAATGATGGGGTTTAACAGCCCCGTGGCTGTAGAACTTCACGTCTACTCCTCCTTGCCCCTTTTCCCGCTTCACAGTTGCCCAGCCATATCCACTCAGATTCTATCCAGCTAGCATCGAAGTGGAGGTGGTATCGCGAGTTCACATAGTTGGATATCTGCATGAAGTTACGGTAGAGAGGTCGGTAACGAACTTTTTCGGATGGTTTACGGTTAGCGTTGCTTCATTTGTTAATAGCTTTTCTGCAGATTATGGAACTGTGGTAGTTGCCAAAGGTAGACGTCAGTTTCAGCCCTTCTGTTTGGGGTCATCACCGATTTCCCCATCCGTAGCATATCTACTTCCGTCCCGCTAAGGCTTATCATCCAGCCTTAAAAATAAGGATAGTTGCCCTCTAAAATCGGATTCACTTCCCACTGCCACCAATGTAGCACTCCGAGACTTCTCTGAAGACGAAAGAAGACATAATACTTGGGCAGAGTATGCATTGCTGACATACGGAAGGGACTGAGGCCTACCAGCATTGGCCCGGAGGCCATGTCGCTCAGTAAAAGTACCATGTAGGACCCCTCAGTGTCCGTGTAACCAAAAAAGTATTGCAATCGTACAATCTGTTCAAGCTTGGTAAATTTGGTCATTGACTTAGCGTTATTCCGCTCCCCCCATACTTGTGGCCCTTCAGCTGTCCGGAAAGTATTCCCTCTTTGGTGATATGACAATACCTTGGCTTTCTTACTCCTGATTCGGCTTAACTACCCCCATTTTACTGGTATAAAGTTTGCTAATACCGATGCTAAACAACTGCATTTTGCGTCCAGCTGCCTCCTTTTGTACTCAGTCCTGAAGTCCTTCAAAAGGCGTTTGCATTTCCCATAAGGGGTCTCTTAGCCTTTGCTAGGCGAATTACTGTCTACTCTTTGTCTATTAATACTTGGGGGATCAATGAGTTGGGCCGCCAGGTGGTGCGACCCGCGTTGCCAAGTTTCATCAATTGTGGTTGTATGTGGAAGTGGTCTTGATCCTCTCGACCCCTGTCTAGGTGTCTTTATCGTGAGTGTGTAAGCATATGGGTATGAAGTATGTGTGCAAGGCTGCCAGCTGGATCGTCTTATCTACGTTTAGCTATTGTTAATTCATTGACCTCGACCTTAAGGTCCGTGTCTGCCCATCTGGAGGTTGTCTCCCACTCGGGAGGAACTGCACAAGAGGCGATTTCCAAGTTATTCACGAAAGTGGACACTTCTGGGAATTTAATCTAGGTCACCATTATGGGGTTTTATTCCTCCGAAAAATGTAATTTCCTCCTCACTGTTTCTCTTTCCAATTAGCTTACCAAGCAGTCCAAAACCTGCTTGGCAATGCTACTTAAGTTTTATAAGTAGAACCCATTTCATTTGAGTGGTGGAGCCGTGTTTGCTGAAAAATGAACAATCTACAGCGCTTCCTTGTTTTTAAGAGGTAAAGTGTTGTAAAATATTCCTCTACATGGTCTATTTTAGCAATTCTAACGACGACAACTTTGAACCAGGTTTGCTCTCTACCTAAAAACAAACTATGACTAATTACTCCTTCCTAAGAAAAAGCCCTTGTGTTTACAAATTAAATTTGTAAGTAGAATGCGCGTTTGGGCGTTTTTACTACGATCTTTGGCAGTTATATTTTCAAAAAGGGTGTTAATAGTAGGCAACAGATGTTTGCCTGAATGCATCTTTGTAGGTGGCAAACGGGGGGCAAAATTTGCCCAACCTCCTGGCTGAGAAGGCACCATAGACCTCCGAGTAGGTGGAGGACGCAAATTCTGATTTTCCTTTTCCATAAATTTTCAACCATTTGTACAATCTTGCCCTAATCCAGTGCATGAAGTCCCTCTCTAACCAGACTTCTCTATCCAAGGCCCTGAAACTGGAGGCAAAGTGGTGACACAAAGGGTAATAAATGGAAATAGGCTTTCAGTTAGGCTCACTGCTCATCGTCTTTGCTGATTTTCCTAACATACGTTTATAGGTTACAAGTTACTCCTTTTGTATCACTTTTTTCTCCCATATTTCCTCTAGGTTTTCTCCTTTTTGATTGCCAAAGATTAACATTTTCAGCCCTAATTAAATAGATGCAGAAGGCAAAAATTTTGAAGATACTTCTCCCCAAATGCCCAAAATTCTGCCAAGGAGACGCCTGTCAGTGGAGGAGTTCCTCCAGGAGAAGAGATTTTTCTCCTGCCCCGCAGTTGCTGTCAGCAGGAAGAAGAGCAGAAGAAAAAAACCGATTTATCCAGGTGAATAGGTGAATGAGTGAGTGAGTGCTTGAAGACAGGGGTAGTTCACTTGCATGACATTTGGAAGGCAATATCATCACTTTAACCAAGGTGATGTCATTCCTCTGTTTGCAAACGTGCACTGCCGCCCCATCGTCGTGACTAAGCTGCACGGACGGTCATCCCATCCCACTCCGTCCCCGGTTCGGTGTAAATGTGTCTTGCTAAAATTTTCCTCTTTTACATGTTCCGACTAAGAGGGCGAGTGAAAGGTAGGCGTTTGGGAGAGACTGAGGGAGAGGGAGAGAGGGAGACAGAGGAAATATGGTTGCAAGCCTAAAATACTGTTTAGAGAGTGGATTTCTACTGGTGAATTTATCTTCATTACTTCTCCATTTCACGGGATAATTGCTTCTCATGGAAAGGAATAATTAAATCAAATGGGAAAATGTATATTAACTGAGGGGAAATTTATACCTTCTGGGCAAACTATTAACGAAAATTTGAAGCCCAGCCCTGCAGACGGGAACGTTCCTACAGATTGACCGAGTTTGTTCCATCCGTTTGACAGTTAATCTGTAGTCAAAATTTTAATTTTTTTCTCATGGACGCGAATAAGATTCAATTCCCTTCTGCAGAACACCCTTTTTCACTTCTGAATCGAGATTTGTAATGCAGCAGCGTATGCTACTCAAACGGAGAAAATTCAGTAGTATGAACTGACAGGTGGTCGGTCGGTGTGACTATTCAGTATGAGGCAGTCAAGAAATGCGTTTTGTCATCACAGTGATCGCCATTGCAATCTTCCCTCCTTTCCACTTCAAGGAGGCACAATGTGGATGTAAGTGGAGAGGAGAACTGTCACTTGCCATCTCCATGTTTCATGAATGTCTGGTGCCAAGGCAAGGCGGACACATCCGAGGTGGTGGATCTCAGACGCAACCACTCGACCTTCAGCAAGTGTGCTCTTGTATCTGCAGTTGTGTCCGGGTGCACACACAAAGCGTAGCCTTCATGGGATGCGGTGGGATAGTGGGCGAAGCTGGTGGATCATTTGGGCATGACCTCTAAGGCGTTTGGTTGCTTAATGATATCCCTCACCTTGCTTCATCCTATCAGTCAGTTAGCAAACTGACCATGAACAAGATAGAAGAATAGGAAGACTTCAAGGTGATAAATCTTAAGGTGTACCGTCGCCTGGAGGCACGTGACACCCTTACGCAACTGACCCCCTTCTTTAATGTTGGCACAAGCTCAAGATAAGGATCAATCCCGGAGGTTGTTGAGTGGATGCAAGTGGTGGAATAGGTCACAAATAAAGTAGCGTCCGCTTTTGGGGAATCTTCCTGAGTGAGGACCCTACCCACCAACTGTCGATGCATCGAGACCACCTCTCCACTCCTCACAACCGACCATGCATAGGACGCATATCACCATCCCCCGGAGGGAGCGCTGTGCATCGCAAATGAAGGACTTGGCGTTCTTCCTGCTTTCATTACCTGAGGCAACTCACCCACCAGGAGACAGTAGATTTTACTCTTTTCCGTAGTTGATGACGACCGATGCAAGTACTCGGACCCGTTGAGGTTGGAGCTCTGTACTCGCTACTCCAAAGAGGAGGAAGGATGGAAGGCTTGTTTAATTGGTGCATTTTACCTCACGGACTCTCGGGTCCTCCTTAACAGTACTCCTTACAGCCTCACAGTTCTTCTACAAGTCAAAAATTCGTCTTCTTCTGACTCCGCATCCTCTTGTATCAGTTGAGGAGAGAGTTAAGGCTTTCCGTGAAAAGGGAAGGAAATTTAACTTGTGGTTATTTTCGAGGTGATAAAGAAATTTGCCTTCCCCTCTGCAATTTGTCTAGTCAAATTAGTTCTACACTGACTTTGTGGCGAATTTAGGAACACAACTGCCAGCTGGGTAGAAATGAGATGAGGCAAGTCTCGTTCAACTGTCTTGTTGGCGTTAAAAATTAGTCAGGCTTGAAACTTCCCTCCTTTCCTCCCTGAAAAGCTGCACAGCCCTTCAACGCATATTTACCTGGTTTAAAAGGTACTTCAGCCCTACTACTTAGTTTTTTTACCCCAGAAAAAGAGATTCCAACAGTAAATAGATTGCTTCTTCACTTGAAAACGGTTGGGTTATGAATGCGCCTGTCATCAGGCACGGATTTTCCCTTTTTTTTATTCTCCATCCGTTTAGGGGCATTTTTAAGGAGGTGTGGTGTGCACATCTTAGCCAACTTAAAACATCAGGGAGATGCTTTCTAGGCTTCTTAGAAATTATTTTTTTAAGAGGTAGTTGAAACCCGTCCTGGGGTCAGGGAACTCAGGCCTCAGGGAAGCGGCTTTAGACTTCAAGTGGAGTGACAGCAGTGATGAATGGGATTTTGATTAAGCCATCATGAAGGTAAGAAGGTGGAACGAATTGTTTAAGTGTTGATTTTACTCCCAACCTCACTTCCGTTGCCCCAAGCTGGATGATTGATGGAATAGGCGGTCATCTAACCTTCACGAGAAGTGGATTTTGCTCCGCCCTTCAATCCGCACTACTTTAAGTATGCTGCCGTCGCAAGGCTTATCTGTATCTTTCGCCCCACCACAGATTTCCCATCTATTCACGTTCAAGGTGAGAGAGACCAACGAACACCTCTTTTTTTTACCTCCAGTTTCACAGTTCACCGCGTCTTCTTGGAGCTTATTCTTCCCTCGCTCTGCAAGACCGAAGAGCGCCCACTAACAGCGCGTATATACGCACCAGGGTGTAAAAAGGGAGGAGCAAAAAGCGGAGAGAGACCAAGCCAAATCTCCACATTGTCCACATTCCCCTTTTTTAGCTCTGCACTCAACTACGCTGGTAGGGAAAAAAAGAGGATGGCAGGACGGAAGGCGGTGAGGTGAGTTTGGCCCTACCCTCCGCACAAGTCGAAGTGAAGGCGCCTGAGTTTTTGTAGCTTGATGAAAATGGCCTACTGCACTGAAATTGTGAAATAAAAAGGGGAGGGGAGGAGGAAATGCTTGAGGGGAAGCATTGTGGACGCTCGGACGAGATAGCGAGAGAGACCCTACTTGCGTGAAGGAAGTGTTGAGTGGATGCACTGACTTATGACGGTGAAAACTAAGTTTTCTTTTGTTCTACTGCTAACCGAGGAATTGTATCGTTTAAGAAAAAGTTGCATCTTTGCCCTCCTCATGACACAATGTGGTCTACTTGCTACTTCACGAATTTAAGGGTGGTTCAAGTTAAACCGGGACTAGAGAAGTGAGATTTCCCTGTGACCTTATTAGCCACAGTAGTGGGTGTCATGTCAATCCAGACACTCTCTTGTCCATTTAGATGATGGGTTGAACAAAGAAGGGCGTTAACACTTCAAAAGCGGTCCTTCACTCGTCTGGCTATCAGTGACGGCACTGGCCGTGGTAGTTTCCAGGTCGCCATTATTTGAAGTCAGTCCTGCGATTATAAGGCCACCGTCTGGCCCTGGACGCCCAGCTTTCTTGAGCTTGTGCAAGAGGCGATCTATTCAAGAGTCAGCGGCTACTGGGTGCAATGATGACGTTTTTGTCTTCATACCAGTAATAGAAGGATTTACTTCTTCACTAAGCAGAAAGTCTTGACAAGGAAGGTCGCTAATTTCTGAATCCCAACATTACCTTAACGAAATTAGGTAATTTGTAAATACAAAGCAGTAAAGGCATGTAGAGTTGCCATCATCATTACCACTAATAAACAAGAAAATAGAAGCTCAATTCTTTCATAATTCCAGGAGTCGCTGTTTGACTTGAACGCTAATTTTTTTAAATAAGACCATGGTGTTGTACTTAAGCCAGGCAAAACTCTTTAAAACGCCATCTTAGGAAGAATGTTTTGAATAAATCATATTTAAAGGACCAGTGGATGTTGTTTTGGAACAGACCGCTTGATTCGTGCTTCCACAAACTTCTGCTTCCCTACCACTGCGGGCAATTGGAATTTGCCCTGCAATCCGAGCCGTCGGAGCACCAACTGTACCACGTGGATAAAGCACTAAAGACAGTAATTTTAAAGATGATAAAAAATGTCAATTATAAGGCTTCAATAAAGTTGAGCAACCGGCGACACAAATATGTGCCGCCTAAAACTTGCTACCTGGCCTCGGTAACGCAAGTGCCTGGCACATGATCTCCAAGCGGCCACGCTAAATTGTGGTCGGGGAAGGACAATCACCTCATATTTTTCTCTTCTACCTCCGAACATACTTGGGAACGTATTTCCTTATCCATTAAACCACCATACACATTTGAGAGATTGAGTGGTTTTGTAGTTTACCTCGGCAAATGACTCGTTTAAGCCTGTAAGTACTGGTTCAATTATTTTTGCTGTTTGTGTGCCTTGCAAGGCATGGCCGGACTAATTGTTTCTGGTGATGATTGGTTCAGGGATAGAATCGCCGTCACGTTAAGATAGGAAGTTACGTGGCATTCCTGCAATAAGACCAACTTTCTGTAGTGTTCGAATTCGTAAGGAAGGAAATGATTCGTTTACACCTACATCTGCAAAACACATAGGTGGTGATAAGGTATGCATTACCGTAAATCCACACTTTATTCATTTTACTCGCGTCACTTTATGACCGGTGATGGGGAATGACTGTCCACTTGCCACGGCACAATTGGAAGGAGTGCCAGAAAAACCCCGCCCATAGAAACAGGCAGGAGTGGTGAATCAGTAGGAAGAAGGTATTACTATTAGGAGGAAACTCCAAGCCTTACATACTACACCACCGCCAAATTTTCCCACGAGAGAACATCCACATTGCGATAGAGGTTTTACATTGCCTCATTTGCATCTCTGCCCATCTCCTGGTTGGGCGTAAGGAACCAGGAGGGAGGAAGGGTAAGGTGCATCATAGGGATTGTGTTAACTGTGTACGACAAGGTCGAATGTGGTGTCTTTACCTGCTCATACATCGTGTCGTGCCTGCCTTTCTACATGGTACTCTAATTGTCTAGCTGACTGGATTAAAGAAGCCTTTGACTAAAAGGCGTATGTCTGGGAGGATCGTAGTGTCTATTACACAGATTTCGGTGGGTGTTTGTTAATCCAACTTTCTGCGATTATCCGTCACATATCTATAGCTGCATGTGGATTGGGTTGTTCCCTGTCTCCTAATTGCAAAACCTCACGTGAGATGAATATATGCTTTCTTCATAGAAGATCAGAAAAAAGTTTATTTTGTACAAGCAAATAAATTGTGAATTCGTGTTAGCAAAACTTTTTTAATTTTCCAAACTCTTAAAATTTATCGTCGATCCCTAATCCCTTCTTCCTTCTTTCCTAAGTGAATAAATAAACAAAATGTGACAGGTTTAATTTATATAAAAGAAGAAAAATAGGAAGGGGTATCTGCAGTTGCCTGGAAATTTGATAATAAGGTTGGCCAATTCTGTAGCATCTCTTTTAATTCACAAACATTCCACTCACAAATAATCCATACTTGTGCTCCACTTTCGAATCAAGGCTACCGACGGTAAAGTGCACCTCCTCTGTCAGACCCTCTCAATCAATTAGGTTGATTAGCTTACGGGGTTAAGTTTACCCCATTTGGCGAGAAAATTAAGGGGCGCGCACACTTACTAAATGCATTCCCGGTACTTCCGAGAAGAGGTTCAAAATTAGAAGGCTGAACGATGTCTGTGGGTCTCCGGTGGTGTTCTTACACCCCGAATGCGAAACATTTTGTAGTTTATTGTATCTAGAAGGCGTAATGAAGTAGCATTTGCTTAAATTTTGTGTTTAAACGCTTTTTCCTTTGCATTCTCTTGAGATTTTGGCTCTTGTCATGGTTTCTCCTTTGGTGTTCTCTTCACGTCGTATAGGATAAAGGCCCATCCAGACTCATAAGCTGCATAAATTTGGCAAGGTTATAAGGGTGTAGGCAGGTAGGGAGCGGTTGGAAGGTTGCGCTGGTGACAGCGCTTAGCTAACCAAGTGCCAACTTGACAATAACACAGAGGAGGTATCTGGTGTAGACGCTGAATCTCTGGAATGGAGGCATGAAATCATCCATTCCTATAGCCAAGACATCCTGTGAAAATTTGAGAGCCTGCATTCTTAAATGCGCAGGTTGAACAAACAGATTTCTGCCATCCTACTTCCTTACCCTTTGGAGTAGCGACTACAAAGCTCCACATGACGACTCTTCCCCCTCGATCTTATCGAGTCCAAGTGCCTGCATCGACTGCCATCAACCACGGAATGGGACAGAATCCGTTACCTCTCGGTGAGTGAGTTTCTGCTAGGCGTCGTGGTTAAACTGAACTGCGGGAAGAAGTTGTGTGAGAGGTGGTACAGAGGCTGCACGAGCATCTACGCCGAGCATATTCTATTACGCCTGTGTCAACTGCACTTGGCAGTGACATTTGCCTCCAGTGGCAGAAGTAAAGAGAACGTCATTTTCATAGTCAATGATATAGAATGCTTCCTTCGGGATTAGGCAGACAGCCTCCTGTGAAAGGTCAATTGTAAGGAGTGGAGAGGTGAACTGTCTGTACCGGCGGTTGTTGAGTGGGAACCTAAATGGGACAATTCACCCAAAATCTGACGCAACCTCAGTGGTTCTGCAGTAAGTCTTGACGAATCCCACCACTCACAAAAAATATCTCTGGTTATGTTGTCTTGTCTGCACTAGAGTCCACCCCTAGAAGCCGTAATATGGCATCCCAAATACTGGTGTTCAGAGGGGTTGGCAGGCCAAGCTTCAAGGCTAATACAACTTAAAAACATTGGCAAATCATCATCACAGATTAACCATAAAACTATGCGCCTCCTCCTTTTCACCGTACCCCCTTCACTACATGGAAATCTGGATACCAACTGCTTTGCGTTTTACATGAGGACCAGTTTTTCGTGAGAGTTGTGCATTCATGCCAAACCCAAGGCCGCTGATACCGCTAACCATGACATATGACTGGTTAGTAGCAAAGAGCATGTGGAATTCACTTTTGATTCCTTCACGATTTATCCATGATATCTGACTTCCGATGAATCATTCTTTGCTTCTTCACATTTCGTTTCTCTCAGCAGGATTTTGCTTTAAACGCACCAAGAAAAGACACTGAAAAGTTTTTTTCTTTAAGAAAGTGTATAAGAAAAACGGTTTTAGTTATTCGTGTCAAAATGCATTTTCGCGTGACGATGTAAACATTTCAAAATATTTTAAAAAGGGGTTTTTCTAAAGAATGCAGTCATTGTTAGTTTTACGAATGGTTAGCAGCTTAGCATATGTATGTAAAGGTTAGTTTTCTTGATTGAGCCTAGCGTCACACATACGTGACATGGGATTTCTTACCCATTATTCAAAAAGGGATTTAGGAATTCACTAAAAAATAGCGTTGTTGATGCAAAATGCTCTATATCCAGGGATAAGGCTCTTTTTCTAATTTATGGTTTCACCCTGAGATCCGAGTAGTAAGCATACCTTGCTAGGCATCATTGCTTCGACTGTGAAATGCATGACATTCTTCTGTAATTTCATTCATTGAGGCTCCATAGTTCTATTCCGCTTGCTTTTATTATCCATTCCGTGTCCATCCATCCATTTGTCATTCCTCCTTTCACCTATCCTTCTCCATTCCACATTTCCTTTTATTCATTCATCTACCCACCCGTCCTGTGTCGTGCATCCATCTGTTCATCCCGTTTTCCCTTCCATTTATCCATTCCCTGTCCCTCAATCCATCCTTCCCTCCTTCTCTCCATCCTTCATTCCATTCCATATTCGTCCATCCTTCCACCCAATTACCCCTCATCCGACCACCAAAGTAAATGGCCTCCATACATTTCCTTTGTAGCATAGTAGTCAACCGCCTTGGAGAAATCGGCGTTAACTGCCGCATTTTTCCCAAGTAATAAAAGGTGCTTGGAATATTCTGGTAACAGACGTTTCTCTCATCTCACTTTGATTTCCCACCTCTATTCCACTTCGCATACTATCATGTGATTGTGAAGTGGCAAAAAAGTGTGATAATTACGTGAAGAAATCCCATAAGGGAATATGGGGATGAGAATGAGGAGGCAGTTTTTCCACCTCTACTTCTTTAACCCAGCATGGAGTAAGAGGTCTTTTTTACTTGCGAATTTTGATGTTCTTTGTTGTCCAGTGCAAAGGACTTTGATTAACCAGCCCTAGAGGTAACAACTACTTCTCATCGCAAGTCAATTAGTTAGTAGCTGATGTTATGGTACCCGAATTTGACTGGAGGCTATTGCAACTATAGAATCGGGTTACGTTTGGGTCGCAAAGTGGACAAGCTCCTATCGCATCCATCAGGCACATTTGATTAACGGTTGGTAGATAAATGCTAAAAATTGAGGGGAGGAGGTCATAGTAAAGACCACTGATGAACTTGCACATTTCTGTGTCTTATGATGAGCGCCGGTTCTTATCAGTTGCAAGAAACAATTGGTTGACCAAAACTGCGGTCACTCCGTCATTTACCGGTAGTTAAATATCGGCCGTGAAAGTCCTCTAACTTGGAACATCATATATATAGGAAAGGCAGAAATCCACACCATTAGCGTGACGAACAAACTGCAGTCCTCAATCCTCATTAAGCCTCCTTCGTAGCACCGTTTCATATCATTCATTAAGGCAGTGGTCTACTGAATTGATCTCAGACACCAGGCAGGAAAGAATTGCAGAGGTTGGATGTTCCTTGACTGTATGCCTAACTGACTGTGCTCTTCAGGCTCTATAAGCTTACTTTTGCTACTCCTTCATCTCTTCGGCTCCTAAGTAAAATTTTCCTCCTCTTTCCAGTTGGTTTGGCTTTTAACAACTTCAGGACAAACTGGAAATACCACAAATGACGAAAAAAAAGACTTCCAATGACTGGGTGAGAAAATATAAGTTTAATGATCGTGGGTTGTCATGTGAATCTGGCTGTGATTTTACTGGCATATTCCCTGTGGTTGGGTTGGCTCATTTTATGTGTCAATTATTTGGGCAACATGGTGACCCCCCTGCCATCCTACCCCCTATTTCCACCTCAATATGGCCCAGCCATTTATTTTGCCTTATTCTCCAAGTTTCAGAAGGCAGGTTGATGTCTTCATATCAAGATAAAAGCATCAAGAAATGCATCAAATGATTTCGAAAACCGATTTTAGCTATCATCATCCGAAGCAGAAGATGGTGGGAATGCTCCACAGCACGACAATCGGTGTGGCAATTCCATCCAATTCAACTTGTGAGCCAGTGAACCCCCTAGAAGTCCCTAAAGACACATAGATATCCTCCTCCACCCCAACTTTGTTTATGTCGACCCAAATTTTGAAAAAAAATGGTTTTTTCGGTCAGCCACATGCACAACAAACTTGAAGAAGATCAGCCGCTCAGCTGTAAAACACTCAAATGAGTGGCCTAAATATCTCCAAGAGGACGAGCTGGACGCCCGCCTTTCAGAGTCGACACTGATCAGCTTCACAGAAGCCACTTCCTACAAGCTGTCAATCGGTGCATGGAAAGCCTGATCCCAGACACATAGGTAACCCGCCAAGAGAGTTGACTTTCTGAGGAAGAAACAGAGAGAAACGCCTTCATAAATACCCTTTGAAGGTAATAACGCCTTCCAGCGGAGCAGATTGCCCCACGGTTATTTATCTGACTGAAAGATTCTTCCGTAACTATTCATCCAACCAACCCTTACCCATTCAGTATCCCTCCATCCATTCTGTGTCAACTTTTACAATAATGTCAGTAAATGACTTTACTCATAATAAAGGAGGACTTTAGTTCCTTTCTCCTCCAACAATCATTCAAGGTATATGAAAGAAGAGATCGGAAGGAGGGAAAGAAAGAAGAGAGAGGGTCATATGAGTGGTGGAGGTGCGGATGCTACGCAACATGCTACGTTGAAGTATTTCTGAGGTAGCAGCACAAGACCAAATGTGTGAATGCCTGGGCACGGTAGAAGAGTGGAATATTTACAAGTGGTAAATGCTCTCTGTATGTGTGTGTGTGTCTCCGTTTCCGTTTCCGTCTCTCTTCCCTCCTTCCTGTCTAGCTGGTATTTACACATGATCTTTTCGCGACGAGACGAGGGAGAACTGAGACCGAACCAAGTTGGCGCAATCCAAACGATGCATACTCTGTAGGATGCTTATCAACTCCTGGTGGGCTAGTGGACCCTTGGCGGTGGTCAAAGCCTCCCACAAATTGAGAACCATTTCAGTAGGACGTTGAGTTGATGCAAAGTAGGGCAGAAATCTGTCGGATAGGAAGATAGACTTGAGTATGCAACAAAGTAGCCAAATTATATACGTGGGGAAGGTGGGGAAAAACAGTTGCTACTATGGAGTTACTATATTTTGTAACTCAGACCCTCCCACTGACTGCTCGTCAGGACGGCAGATGACAGCATTGATGGTGGTTGAGTGCATGCAGATACGTGGGGGTAATCAAAGTAGTATCTTGTCAATGAAGGCGAGGTGTAAGCGTTTCAAAGACGTTCGGTGGGCCGTCTCTCCATCAGTGAGGATAACGGCTGTGGGAGTTCCCACTTCACCACCACTGACTCATTGCCATCCTACCGTGAGACTACTCAAGACAGTCTGTCAATCTACCCGGACTCACCCATCGTGACATCACATTTCGTTCCTCTGGAGTAGTATTTAGGCGCCTCTGGTAGGATCTAAATGACCGTTGTGGGTTCAAAGTTGAAGCGATTATCTGTACCTTCCAAGAGAATCCACTTTTATTCGTCACCGACGAATTCAACGTGTGGATACTTTCCCCTAGTCTTTAGGTTTGCTAAACCTAGCGTTTGTTACATTCACCAGATTCGATGCCAACCGACTACTTGAAGGCGGACAAGAATAGAAAGTCTTCCAGTAAAGCCATGGCTGTCTCACCTTTCCATGTTAAGATGTTGGGCCAATTGCCTCCAATCATTGCCCAGTGGAGCGATAGGATCAAGCATACTGCACATTTGAAATACCACGTAGGACGGGAGCCTAGACACGAGGAAGAAAAGAAACCCAGTATAGGTCACAAAGTCTGCAGCAGGTAGGGTATTGTGCTCATGTTGAAGACATAGTAGAGCCTCCAATAGGACACAACAGATTACGCCTTCGCAAGTCTCCACCTCCGCCTTTGTCAGTGTCAACAAAGTAGTCAAGAAGGACTTCCTTACCTGAACTCATTTTGTTCACTGTACGAACTGTTGCCCGTCTGGCTGGGTTGTAGGTGTTTCCCCTAAAGGAGGGAAAAAAAGTTGTGCAAGTAACTGAGGAAATGGAGGGGAAGAAAGCGACTTGATTGGATTCCTTTGCAATATCTCACTACTTGATCTTCACACTAGTGACGTAGGAGGGTGATGCTCCTACTATCGCGCTTTCCTTCTCCCTCTCTCTCTCTCTCCCACCGAGATCGTGCAACACCCGTACACTAAAAACGAGGTAGTTTCTAAGCTCGCACTCTTTTCCTACAAATCCGGAAAATATCTCCTAGCAAAAGTGAAAAAAATGTGGATTTTGCTAGATTTATATTTATTCTAGAATATTATAGATGGTGAATTTGATCTCATAGAATGTAAATTCCTCCTTCGATGGCTCGCAACAGAGGAGTCATCGAAGTAGCTGCCTATAGTTGTGGACATTGCCAAAGTCAAGAGACTAAAAGCATGCCAGGAGCTGGGAAGAACTCAAGATGATGCGTGAACAGCGTGGAAGGTGGACGCACATATAAGACGATGCCCCTCGGATTTGATGTTAGGTATCTAGGCTCGGTGAATAACACAGCCTCACCTCATCTTATCCCACCTCGTGTAGGTCAAGACTCATCATTACCATGAATACCCTTTTCTCCAATAGGGAGAAAATTCTACTCATTTTCCAGTTTTCGGTCCAAAAAGGGAACTTGCTTAAACCCATTCCAAATATCCTTCTGGAAAACGGTGTCCCGTATAACTCCCTCTCTACTCCCCCTCTTTTTTCGTGAGTACTTTCCTGCCTTTCGTGGCCACGGGTTGTACTATTTGAAATCCGGATAAAATTTGACCTAACAGAGAAGAATTTATGTTATACTGAAACAAATTTATTTGCCTTTTATTATGTACGGAGATTGTTCTCGCATGAGGAGGGGGTGAAAAAGTGGGGTGGGAAGCTTACTTTTCCTCTTAAGCACTGCTGTGAGTTTCAAGAAGTAGACATTAGGGATAGCAGAGCCACTGAGTCTAAGTTCAACAGTGAAGCAGTCGTGGCCGCCACCGGAGAACAAAGTTCGACGCAGATAATGGTCCAAGTGAAGACAGTGCTACCAGCGTCACGTATATGTGACAACAAAAATTTACTACCTTTACCTAGTGTCACGAATGTGACACTGAATTATTTATCAGTTTCTGATAAGTAATTCTTCGAGGTCCTGAGGGAAAAGAAATGTAAGGCGTATACATCTATCCGTCTTCTCGTTGTAGATTCATCCACCTACCATTACCGCGCCCATACCTTAGATCCTTCCACCCATTTTAGTCAATCTATTCGTTTATCGTCTACACCTTCACGGACTTTGTGTACAATGCTCTCAGATACGTCGGTTTAGTCATCCTCTACCCATTTAAGCATCCCACATCCATCAATGCTCCCATTCATTTGTCCGTCCATCCCGTATCCATCCAGCTCATGTCGGTCCACGCATCTTTTATCCATCCACACATCCATCCATCTACCCAACTAAGCATCCATTCCTTTATCCTTTTAACCGAGGCCTCCATCCATAGTCACTTTCATCCATCCATTCCGTGTCCATCCCGTATTCACCCATCTATTCATTTATCCATCCATCCATCCCTCCACCCGTTCCTAAAACCACCTCTTCTAAAATGCCTTTAGCGTAAAGGCAAACAATAGAGTTTGGGTGGTGAAGATGTAGGCGACTTAGCTTACCTCTGGACTGCCACTGTTGACGTTCAAATGCAGGACTTGTTGCGTTCCTGGAACACCATCTTGTTGACAGGCGATTGTACAGTGCAGGCCTGGAGTTGCATCATCAACTCGTTCAAGCGTGAATGAGCAGTGGAGTAGGGTGTTACGATTGCCGCTCCATATATGTCGAAACGGTATCTCCTACAATTTCAAATGTACTTCTCACCTTAACTGTTCCAAAATCCTTGTTAAAAGGAACAAAGGGATCTATTTTTTCAAGAAATCAAATGCAAAATAACTCCTTGACAGCCTAACTACCTCATGAACGAGGTGAAGACTATGTAGACGCACTGGGTATCCGCCGAATGGCTGACTTTCCTGCAACTTCAGCAGCGCAGAAAAATCGTACCATCCCCTCCCATAGGCGTCCACTGCAGGACAGCCAAATGGCGTTTGGCTGTGTGTGTGTGTGTGTGCGTACTAGAGTGAGTCAAAGTAACAACAACAGAGCAAAGGATAAAAAAGCAAACAGACACGTTGGTCACTTCCTGTGCTCCATTTTTGGTGACGTCCGCTACTGACACACACACACACACACACGGCCATACAAAGGCTGCACCAAAAAAGAAAAAACAAAAAGCCTAGGTGATGTCAGGGCGTGAGTAATGCAAAAAAAATTAGTGAATAATTAAAAGAGTGGCTTCCACACCAATATGACAAGCACGTGAAACATAGCACCCTTTTTTTCGCTTTTTCAGTAGTATATGCCACACGAAGGGATTTTCTCTCACACAAAAGTTGAAATGGGAATTACTGCAACCCGACTGCCTCCTTCATACCGTCTATCCATCGGATGTCCTTTGATTATATCCCTACCAGTACATTCTTTAAGATTTCCCACAGAGAAGAGCAGAGCCGGAGACACCACTCTACCTTTTTCGATGCTGCCACAAGTTCAACCGATGAGAGAAAAGTGGTACATTGTTCCAGGCAAAAACAACAGGCTACCGTCTGTTGGGCGAGATAGAGGCGGGAGGAGCTCAAATCGTGGGAGATTTTCCTAATCTTCAGATTTGCTTATGACAAAATCTCTGTCCTTTCAGAAAGGCTTAGTGGATAAACTGGTGCGTCCAAGACTTCGAGAGGTGAAGGAGCAGACCTCAGCAAGACGCACATCCGAGTTAGAGGTCAAAAGTTGTCGTAGTGATTTGAGAATGACCTGATGAAGTTAGTCACCACCTGACAACCTTTCACAAAATTAGTAGAGGGGAAATTTCTACCCTTGGCCCTATGACGAAGCAAATGAGTTAGATGACAATGACAACCTGCTTCTATGGCACCTACTTCCATCTCCAATCCTGTCATTTGAGGTAGCTGTCATACTCTGAATTAAGAAAGTTACTTGAAGGAAGGGTTGATACCAAGTCCACGAGCCCCTCGTCCATCCCATACACCTCAAATGAGTTGAAAGAGTAGGATCGAAATTTTTTGGCCCCATAGCTCCTCCAGTTTGCTTGGAGGATCATTTATAGAGGTGCTAGCAATTGTCTCCCTAATTTCAATGGCATCCTGACGTCCTCTAATTCGAGACTTTGAGAGATCATAGTGGCGGTAAGCAAGGCTGGTAACAACTCTGTTGAGGTGGCAAGAAAAACGTAGCAAAAGACAAACCTGGCAAGACAACCGCGTTCTCCAGTGAGGCGACAACTCTTGAATTCGAAATACCAATCCGCCTCCGCTGTTCTTGAACAACATCTGCTTTCCACCACCAATCAACTGGCCATCCAATTTGGCCTCAGTGTCCTTCACATGTCTTACGGCATCCACGGTATCAAGAACGGCGTAGATTCGTAAACTGCAGTCTGTAACGTTTGTAAATCTGCTTGCAAAGGCGATAAGTCGTAGACGTTTTGAAAGAGGTGGTGGTATAGCCGATGGGAGGGTATCATTGGTTGTCTCTGTCGCCATACTGCTTCCACTGTGATTCTCACTGCAGTCCGTAGAGATGCCCATTCGTGTAGCGCCCACGAGGAGGGTATTTGGGCTAGTCGGTGCAAAAGTTGTCGCCTGACCGACGAGACAAAAACGCAGCGGATACTGGGTCATCAGGTGGGCTTGATTACCGCTTAGGTAACAGTGAATTGGGTCACGTGCTTGCTCTTGACCTATTTGGGCCACCTCCTACAAAATTAAGTGGTTAGATGGGTCACTAACGTCGGCTATGGCAACCGCAATGTCTGGGTCTTTCCAGTCTTTCCTGAGGACGCTCCAGACCCTCCAAAAGGCCGGTAACTCAGACAGTTTTTGACCCTTGTAGAGGTTAAATGACAGCTACCCTTGATGGTGCCTTTATTTTTGTTTCCGCTGTTGGCATAATGGGCGAAAGGAGGACTAATGCTTAACTTTTTTGACTACCTGACATCCGCATATCATCACAGGAATGTGCAACTGGTCCACGTAGGTGAATGTGAGAAGTGATAAGTCTCTGGAACCCGAGAACCGACCTAACTATACTTAGTGAAGTTGACAAGCTCAAAATTACACGCTACTAAGGCACGTTAAGACTGCCCTCGTGCTAATTTGTTAGTAGTCTCTGTCCACCCTTGATAGAGAGTACAACAAAGACGTCATAGATCACCTTACCCTCCAAGACCACTCGACAGTGGTGGATTCGGAGCCCTTGTAAATCGAGTCGAAGCCAGAAGTACTGCAGTAGCAATGAATGCTGAAGGACCAAGCGCTCTGTCCTGTCATGTTGGCGCAATGTGGGAAAGTCACAATCACGGGTTTCGAGAGTGGAGCTCCTGGGAGGCCAATTTGAATGACTGAACTCAGTAGTGTCTGATGCTCTACAATATAAGTAGTATATACGCCGTCAAGCGGCATGCCTCAGGAGCGTGGGGAGGGGAGGAATGAAGGAATGGTAAGATGTCATTGAGGTGGTTGATTTATGCCCTTAAATGCGGACCAGCCGCTTAGACATGCTGAGTGTAAGGGAGAAATATAGCCCTTCGGGTCCCCCACGATATGACCACCATGACGATTACATGGGCATGGCCCATACCATTAGCCTCTCAACTCCTATGTAGGTTTAAAGCGGACCTAATTACGGATATAACCCCTATTCTCCATTTGTGGCCAAGTTGTCGGGACGAGCTGACGGCTCCCGGCTCGCATTTGTGGATGGCGGTGGCTATAGAGACCCTCAAATGAAGCCGTCATGGGGGCGCATGGAGAAGGTGGCTGAATAGTGATGGAATGACACACGGATCATAATCACCCAAACACGTGACTCCACATCCTTCAATTACTATTTCGATTACCCTCTAAGAGAGCTAAATCCAGGCGTTGGTGCGAAAACCACACCGCTACCTGAACGACAGGACTTTCAGCTCTTCCCCGCCTTCATGCCTGCATTGCGTAGTGAGATCACTCGGGCTAACAATCGACCTTTCGGCCAACCTTACCACCGTTCCTCGTTAAACCTGTAGATGTTTTCAACCAAACCTGTGGGACATTTGCCTTTCCTTACGATACCCCTACAGCATGAGTCATTGTACGTGACGCACAGCCTTGATAGGTCATGCACCCCTATTTATACCTGCGGATAGCGGGAAGGCAGGGGAGGCCGGGGGGAGGGAGGGAAGGGGAGAGGGGAACGCACATTATTTTGACTTATCCCACTAGTATCCGTGCCCAAATTTCCCAACATCAATCATCAGCCACCTGCCTTATTCAGTCGTTTGTTTGTTTGCTTTTAGGGCAAATCCTTTCACAGCGCGGTGAACGAGGTCACTCCCCTTGATTCCCGTGAAACTTCTACAGCATTTCTCCCTAAATAAAGATGCCCATTTTTTATCCTATCATATATGGTAAGTCTGACGATAGAGGTGAGGATGGATTGAGCCAAAAAACGAGAGTTTTACAACTTTTGACAATCTTGAAGTGGCAGGCATTCTTGTTTGCGTGTGTGTGTAAGGGATACGAAAAGCGATGACAGATGGGGCTGTCATCCACTTTTTTTTGTGACGGCACTGTCATGAATGGATGAGGAAAGGGTTGTTGACTTGGAACTCACCAGATAATGCAGGCCAATACTTCTCATCTCTACAGGTTGCAAGATAGACCTCTCTGGAGACGCCCGATGGTACTGAACCCGGTGGAATTCGAAGACTTATCCCTGCAAGGAAACAAATTACCCACTTTTAAGATCAAACGGCCTAACCAGATAGCAGACCTCCTCCAGGTAGGAGGCTGAGAGTTAATGCAGTCGGGGGGAAGCTTTTATGCATTTGGGCTTAGTCAGCAGAGAGTGCTTTTTGTCCCAGTCACTCCACTTGACTTTAGTCTGAAGGGTCCATTGGACCTACAACTGACCTATGAAGAGACGCCCTTGATTAATTGTAAACAATAGGGGGTGAGGGGGGAGACGAGGTGGAGGCCTGACTGTACACGTCTCCATCATTTAGCCCCTCATACAAGGCCAAAGTTACTAGGAGAGGGGATGAGGAAGCCTCTTCCTCTCTCCTGGTCCAAATAAACTACCGAGGGCATTGGAACCCAAGGACACAGCGAAAAAGCTTTATTTTTCTTACTTCTAAGTAAAAAGGGAAGAAGGAAGTACATTCTGCAAAGATTAAATTTAGAGGATTCTTTTTGCTTAAAGTAAACAAATGCATTTTTTTTTTTAACTTTTCACATGATCTGCTTTTTTAAAAGATGGCAAAATGTCAACCGGAGGGCAAGAAATCCTCGATGACGAATTGAAGGGATTTTGACTGTTCGATGGAACAAACATATATCCCTTTTGAGAGTGTCAACTGTTTAAACCGCATCCTTGTCATGAGGCCAATGCACAAAATTTCCGGAGGTCAAAGAACTTAAGAGAGCTTTGAGCTCCGAGGTAAGAACAAGCCTATACCTGTGATGGTCCACAAAAAATAGCTGCGTTAGCCTAATCATGCCAAATATATTTCCACCTTCCGGGAGTTTGAGATAGTCCTCTTTAATACTCTCATTTTCTACCAGTGTAGGACGTTTTGGAGTACTCAGTACCGCTTGCTTTCTTCTGATTGGTCAAATCGGTGCTTAGGGTCAAGGCCATTTAAAGGGATATAATGATGACTGCCTGCGGACTCTACTCCTTGTGTTCTTCCACTGTTGGCGATAAAGGCTCCTCTGTTCCGAGGCGTTTGTCTCTGATGTTCTGAATGTAGTCGCGATGGTGATTTTGCTTACACACTAGGAGGTCACTTCATGACACTTTGTGACTCAATTCGGGTCCGATATCATTCCACTTCACTCTGTCCACGTCATCGTGTCACTTATTTGGCAAAAGGTTAATCCTGCGATTTAAATCAGGAGGAGGGGAAATAAGGGAGGTGTGAATCAATTAATGATTGACAGTTGACCAATGTGAAGAGAACACTGATAGGTCAGGGACTAACCAGACTCCGGTAAATTGACCACACCACCAACGGATCCAATGTTAGCCCAAGTAGTGCTTCCCGTCTCTCCAGCAGCAACAGGGAGGGGAGGAATCAACGGGAAGATGGACTCCGCGGCAGTTCCAATTTCATGGTAGAATGCGGAGGAGCAGTCATCGCCTCCTTCAGCCCCACCCAATCCTGTATTCGGAGTTGAAGATGGGCTCAAATAGATTGGCTGTTGTTGAGCTTGCAAACCGCCTGTAGAAGACGAGGCACTGGATCGTGAGGGCGCCATATAGGGTGGCGGTAGAGGAGGTATGGGTTTACCTGGTAGTGGTGGATTTGTGTACCCTCCTCCACCGGGCAGGGGAGAGTACGCGGCCGTGTTGCCATTTGAGGCGAGGCCAGGCGATTCCTTTAGCCTGTAAATGCAAGTTAATACACAAATCGGATAATTGAAGATACGGCCTCCAAAATTAGGCCATCCGCTACCTCGTGGTCCAAACAATCCACCTCCTGGCGCGACTGCATCAAACCATGGTGACATTCAGTAAGCGGGCGAGAGTGAGCAAGAAAACAGTTATGTAGTGCTTTTTTTCATCCCCCCGCCGTGACAACAGGGCAAAAACTGCACTGTAGTCAAACGAAAAACATTCTGGCGGAAAAGTCATTTTTTGTTGGAAAGGAAATACAGATGTTGAAAACCATGGCGAGAATGCATAATCCGGCCGCAACAACAGAGGAGGAGGAGGAGGAGGCACAAAAATCGTCGCCTAACTGCGCAAGTAAATTACTCAGAAAGGCATTTCAGATATCAGTCAACATGTCGTCTCATTTGATGTAAAAAGGAGAATGCGTCATCCATAAATGTGAAAACCAGTCAAAGCTTCGCACGCCTTGACAAGCCACACTTGGAAGTGATTTCTTTTTCACCATTTAAAACGGGTGTGAACTCGTTAATGCGAGTCTGATTGTGAAGAAATAGACGTTAAGGTGTTTATCTCACGCCAGAGTACAAGGTTGTTTGTTGTTTTCGTCTCCCCACCCCCCTCTTAAACCCCAATGGTCCCTCGCCCCACCCCACCCGCCGAATTGGAAGTTTGGCGGTTTTGGCGCCTGTTCCCGGCGTCACGTCGGGCATCCATTCAGTTCCGTTTTTTTGCTTGTTTTTTGACCTGATTTAGGAAGAATGGTAAGACAAAAAGTTGGCATATACCTCTCCGTTGATAGGTAAGTCGAAAAAAAATTTGTCTGAATGAAGTTGCCTTGTGACTGACCAAATTAGTGTCACAAAAAGTTGACATTTCCTGCTCTGTGTTGTGAGTTAGCCACATCGACAGGGTTAGTGGGAGCCTTCCAGTCAGCGTATGAAGCCCTCAGGGATGACATAAGTGTCGTGATGACGGCAAAAACCAGCAAATCCATCCCCAGATTTGCTGATCGGATGATAAAGCACTTAAGTGTCTTTACAGAGAAAAGAAGTCGCCTTCTCTGGTCTGCTGAATCTGCGAAACATACAAGCTGTATCGGTGTCGGTGAAACCGAAGGTCATTTCTACTCAACTACCCTGAATGATGACCACGGAGGGTCTTGGACACGATCCTAAGCAAAAAAATGGAGAACCGCGTGGCTCTCTAGAGGCTCTGCATAATCAGAAACTGCAGAAATCCGGGGAAAAGATTGTTAGAGGTAATAAGCAGCCAAAATGGAATCTTTTAAGATGGTGTCATTTGTTTTAATCTACCCAGGTCAAGTCGGACTTAAATTAACTCACAGATAATTAAATTTTGGCGATTGAAAAGGCCGTCCATTTGGAAAACCTGGCGACATTGGAGTAAACATTGCGGGGATAGGACTGTACGGTTGATTGTACGTATTTCCAGCCTCGGCCCCGGAGACGGGCCTCCGCGTCTGCGATTGAACAAGGCCCCTCGGACTCGCATTTTTGGAGGAATAATCGAGTAGACCGATTGCCGTGCTCTCAGTGGCTGGAGAGCTTACTTTAAGTTGCCTTGGAAGACTTCCCACGCCATTGGTGATTGGTGGCATGTCGTAGGTGCTGCTTTGACTGTTCTTGAGAATTGTCATAGACTTGCCGTACTCTGTTGGCAGAGAGGATTGAACTGCGTAAGTAGCTGCCTTAGAACCTCCCAAAATCTGTTCCCTCTAGTCATCCCCCTGCCATGTAAAACGAATGAGACTGGTAACCTTATAAATGAGAAAGATAGTTCATGCTACTTATAACGCACTTTTAGGCATTTCAGTAGTATGAGGCTCAAGTCACTATTTGGACCAGGAGAAAAAGCATAATTTTGCATTACAAGGAATGCCATCTGTGAAAGTAATCTAATTTGTAGACAATAAATAAAACACACTTAAAAGCCGCCAAAAATAGCTAAAAGGGAGTTGTAAACAGCTGTATCCATTAGCCCGTCAAAACAGAATCCCTTTTTATTTTATTTCAGTAATTTTTCAGAAAATGAAGTCCCTCTCTTCTTTAGCCGCCTATTAACGGAGCCATTGTGCTACCGCTTCCACAGCATATCATATTATAAATGTTTAGGAGGCTTCAAAAAACCACCTTATTAATCTAGACCATAAATCTCCCACATGGCAGAGAAGAAATAGAGGAAGTTTGATCCACTTTGTTCTGATTTCCTCACACACTCAAAGATAGAATCTGTCTATTAGGAGTTCCGCAGTTTGTAGGAAATGTGAAGAATGAACAGCTTGGGATACCCCTTAAGCATACACACCTCTTAATTTGGTGGTGATTTTTCCGACAGCTTCAGTTTAACCAAAGTTTATCCTACCACCTTTAAAGGTTTATTTTAACCAAAAAAAGCCACCAAAATTTGGGCTTCTTAACTTTTGTAAGTGTTTATCCTTGGGGCGGTAGTTTGGCTCCGCCATCATCGGGTATTTAGACAGAAATAACGCCCGAAAAAAAGAAGTATATGATAATTGCTTACCATTTTGTCGACTTGAGAAACGCCCTGGACAAAGGGAATTGCTGAAATGTGAGGGTTTTCTTCGGTTTAGACGACAGACGGTGAAGATTATGAGGGCCGTCACAGTGAATGCCGCCACCAGGCCCACGTAGAACATTATCTCTCGAACATTCACTGAAGAGGACGCGTTCTTCTTCTCGCCTGTAGTTTCCGAAATTTCACCTGTTGGTAGACAAAAAAAAATGGAGAAGATGACTTGATGCGCATCGACAGTATTTGGATGCAACAGAAGGCCGCCTTTTTACCCCTTGAGGAATAGATACACATTCACGGTAAAAGCGGAAATGAATCAACCCTCCGGCAGCGATACTAGATACACCATCACATTGTAATAAGCCCTAATTAGCTTTGCGTGCACGGTATTTCTCCTTTTTTTGACACAAAAGAGCATTCCTTTCAATCCACCAATCAGCAGCGGCCAAACTTTGGGCGGTCATTTAAAGGAGGTGTTTATTTCAACTTGATTCTACACGAGTTCGCGGTTCCATGTAGCGAGTGGAATCACGACGTCTCACAAGGAAAACGAACCGTCTTTACAGCCCAGAACACCTTAATGATGCATACACTACCCAACGGACCAAATCAGTAGGTCCACAAGGCTGTCCCCCCACCGCAGACCTCCGCTGCTTGCTCCCGTGATCCGAGGCGAGGAGTCACTGGATCCTCAGGATGGTATGGCAGATCGAAACAGATTTGGTGCGAAAAGTTACAGAAGGAGTTTTTTATTTGTGGAAGAGGTAATAAGGTTATCACTGATCAAAGTAGTCCCGAATCGGTGAAGGAGGTACCTCAGAAACCCTTAGTTCAGCCAAGTGGGGAGTTTTAAAAGGTAATCGGTGGGCAAAAAAGAGCTACATGGAAAGTGGGAGATTGCAACAAAAACCTCGAACTTACCCCCACATTCAGTGGATTCACAAATTCTGCTTTCAAACACCGATTGTGGACAGGTGGGTGGAGGGTCTGGAAATGCTGACGCAGAAGGCGGCAAGACGGTCTCCTCGAGGGTCGACACATTGAAACAGGTTCGTGTACGTGTCTGTTGACAACGTCCACTCAGGGGCTCCAATTTGCAAGCACTCCATGTCGTCCATGGAGTCATGCGCAAGTGAGTCTGAGGCTCCCTCCTGTAGGCTGTCACGCACACACAAAACACCCAAAATTATAGTGATCTTTAGGGGGATCAAATTCGATGTTTTAAACGATAAAACCGGGATGGGAACTCAAGATCAAGTAAATGGACTTTCGGATATTTTTCAACAGATTTTGAAGGCCGCTTTAATCCTAAATTCGGGAAGGGGGCGAGTGGAGGGAGGTGGTGAATGGGAAATGAGGAATAAAAACCGTTCTCTCTCCGTTTCCTTTTTCCCCACATGAAGTGGTTGATTCCATAACAGCATCACTCTAGCAACAGTTCTGCCCTGATAGAGGGCCAAGTAAGGTAGAGGAAGATTTTATGACTTACGAAGCACTGTGACCTCTGCGGTGGAGTACCGCTGTTCCATGCCCAGGGTGTCCGCCACGCAAGTGTAATTACCCTCATCTTGTAGTTCCACCTGCTCTATAATCAACCGGTTGTAGTCGTCAATGATGATGTGAGGGAAGGTTTGAGCCTCCACTCGTTTTCCATTCTTCAACCAGTAGACCTGTAACACAAACAAATTACCTTACCTCTTGAAGTTATCAAGCAGGTCTTCACTTCACAAACAAATTAGTCGGTTGAATTCAAATTTAAGATACTTTCGCTATACCAAGGCGGGCAATCTCGGACAGTGAGTTCTTGGCCCACAAGACAGCCTTCGAAGTGTACTCCTCACTCATCAGCACTTCAATGGTGTTAGACCTCTCTTCATCAGATGAGAGGGCTATAAAATTACTCTACTACCTCAAACAGGGTCTATTCATCTCGGCGCGCATTTGCTCATGCCTTCGGGTTGCCAATTAGAAAGTCAACTGAGAAAAAACCGAAAAAGAGAGAGAGAAGCAAAAGCCCGAGCGTCTGCGCAAAATTTTCTGTTACATGGGTAACGAAAGTTCACACGAAAGTCGTCTTCGTCGTTGAATTTGTCAACCTGTCCATCAGTCCGTATTCCTCCCCCTTCCATGGGGCGCGCACACAGGTTTGGTGTACGAATTACAGCTGCCACTGGGCCGAATGACATGCACATGCATGCTAGCTGACTGGCTGGCATAACTTATTTTCTGTCATCTGAGAAATGCACCCGTCAGGCAACAGATGGAGAAATGCCGAAGACACGTTGTTAGATTGAGATCAGAGGTCCAAAAACCTTGCCTCAAAAGACCTCGGCGTCACAAATGCGTGACGGAGCTGTACTGGCATTAAATGCTAGCGCAAACACATGGAGTGAGGATCGCAACCTGCTCTTGACCTGCATATCAGTTGAAGAGGTCAACTTGGGACAAAGGAAGGGGTGGTGCCTGCTGGAAATCCAAAAACCCATCGTCTCTCTAAAGCGTAATGGTTGATACTCCCCCTCCTCCCTCCTAGAACCCCCAATGCCAAGGTGCAAATAAAGCCTCCATTTAAACTCAGCAATTGTTCTAGCCTCCTCTTTGCCCCTTAATCTAGACAATTAACACCAAAATGAGGAAAGACGAGGCCGTCTCGCCATTACCCCAGGAAACTTTTCCTTCCCTCTTTGCCAGGATTTGGGGGGAGGGAGAGGAAAATAAAAACGCAGCAGGTTCCAATTTCCTTTAGAACAGTGATAAAATGGCCACCTGAAACACTTTTTTAAGATATCCGGTTTAATTCGCCCTTTTGCTTTCTTTTTTGCCCCCTTTTAAACCTCTAAGTTTGCAGTCTGACACAAAGGACAAAAGATCAGCCAATGGGAGCGTCTCTTATCAACTCCTGCACTTGCAGGAGAGAATTGTTTCAGAGGAGCCCCTTTTTGCGTGTCAGACCAAGGTCACATCTTCATCCAACACAGCCTGGACAACTGAGAAGCCCCCTCGTGTGTATCAAGTTATTTGATCCCACGGTGGACTGCTTTGTTAGACGGTCTTAAGGCAAGTCCCAACGTTAAAGACTTGTTGAAAAAAAAAATAAGGAAAAGGAAAGTAAAGAGAATCATTCTTCTCAGGCCAGAGACATTAAGGACGCTACTAATTTGTTTACGGTGCGATTTGTTGCAGTCACAGTTGTTATAGGTTGGTGAGAAACCTGCGTCACACATTTGTGACGTGTCAAATGGCCATCTAAGAAACGTACACACGTGGGTACGCCGTTGTTTAGAGCACCTTAGCTACATTTATGTGAATATGAGTGAACCAAGTAACTTGGTATAAACAAGAAGGTGATCGTTGATATAGGCGCCCAAACCAACTTCTCGATCGGTTGGCTCCATACCAGCTTTTTAACTTTGTAGGGAGTTTGACGACATGTGAATGATTTACCTTGGGTGCTGGTTCACCTTTAGGTGGTTGACACGACAGTAGAAGTCTTTGACCTTTGACAAGTTGTTCGGGGATGGGCTCCAGTTGAAATTCACGATCAAGATCTAGGCATAAAGAAAATAACCTTAATGAGGGAGGCTTAAACGTCTATAAATCAAAGATGTACAAAACTGTTCCACGGTAAGACCCTCCTAGAAGGGAAACAATGCGCAATAAAAGAGCGGAGGGTACAGCCCACCGCCCACTTTTGGGTGTGTTAGAAGCCGAGGCAATGCAACAAGTTAAGGAGGACGAAATATTTTTTACCACCTTCTTCAGCAACCGGTCTTAAGCACATCATTCACCAAAATGCCAGAAAAGTGCCAAAGAAGATCACTAAAGTTGAAGGCAGGAATGTAGAGATAATGGGGCCTGCTGTGTAGGCATAGCTGGTGGGATTGGTTAATGACTCAAGTCATCGAAAATGGGGGGACGGGAAACGGGTGACAACAGAGACGGGGAGTGTGTAATTCGTCTGAATTACCTTCTAATTGTCCGCGTTCTAGTGGCCGAGAAGGCGCAATTTTATGTGCCAGCATGGACTTCTCTGGAAACACGAACACACAGACACACATGTGAATGCTTCAGTAAGTGTTAACTTGAAAATTAGCACGATCGCCACCACCAGCACCATTTCTTCCCCAAATCCGAGTTTTCGACCATGGTAAGATTTATCACCTTGGTGAGAACGAGACGAAGACGCAAAAATAGTTAGAAGTCATCAACAAAAGGGGGAGATTTTTTGTTGGTGGTGCCGAGCCTTGCAGCTGTGTCTCAGCTCACTGCTCCTCGCACCGAGCTGCCTTGTTCTCACTGGTAATAAAGCCAGAGAGGGGACAGAGTCAACCCATGCCAGCCTCACTATTTCCCAGCCGCATATACTATTATGTAACGAAGAGGAATTTGTCTTAAAGGCCACCTAGGCCCGCATCTGGGCCGCGTTTGCAACCTCCTAAACCTCCACAGCCCATGCATCGCTTTGCCACTTCCAAGACAAAAAAGGACCTCTCAAAGGAGAGTAGCCATGCGAAGCTACTAATTAATGAAGAGGCCTTAAAGCCCCCTGCAACTTGACTTCTAGGCACATTTTCAACGCGTTGATAGTGACTACGCCTGTTTACCAGGAGTTAGGCGTTATCGCATCAAACTTATGATAATCACTGGTACTTCAACGTAAACAGTTTGGATAGCCAACGAGAAAGCCGCTTACTGGTCAATTTTCACAGCTAAATTGAACCTCAGAGGAGTTTTTTAAAGGATGTAAGGCTCCAGCACAGATTCCTCTATCCAGCGCTCCTCATACTGATTACTTACAGGTGTAA